GGTACTAATTCCCCACGGCTATTTACACCCGGGGAAACGAAAGCATTAGGGAAGTCTGAAGTTCATCAAATATCGCGGGCGTGGGTCACTGTGCGTGTTTCGGTGGGTGGTCATGCTCACTGATCTCAAAAATATGGCGGACTGTCATGAATAGCGAACACTGATTGGTCAAATTTAAAATTTGTTGTTGTACGACGAATGACGACTTCAACTGACAGATACTTCATGAAAATATTTTGCTTTTTGCACTGCAATATTTTGTACGTTTGCAAAAAACTTTGACAGCTTTCAAAGCAATTTGCTCTATAAAGAGTTTAATAAAACAATTATGGTATCAAATACCAATTGAAAAGATATGGACTACTGTATGGAGCCAAATGAAGAGCGGCAAGGAAACGACAAGAAAGCCGAACGTCTCGCGAAAAGGAGGGAGCCAGCGAAGACGACAACGTTTGCTCGAGGAGACTGCTGAGGAAAGAGAAGCTCGCCTGGGAAAGCGTAGAGAAGCATGGAAAAAAAAAGACTGGTGAAGCGAAAGGTATTAAAGCAAAGGTTTGTCTTCACAACGCTATGTACCAATGATACTGTAGCTATACAAGTTTAAGTATGATATTCGACCCTCTATATTCGACTATTTCTTCACAATTTTCCAATAAAGAGTTTGTCATGACACGCTCAAGTCAGTATAACCAGACTGTATTTTATTTATATCAGTTATCACAGCCACAGGCAATTTTATGCTGTCAAATACCGTCGGTGGCAACTAAGGGTGAACAGTTGCAGATAAAACATTTTCTATTCTCATTAAAAAGCCTGTAAAAGTTTCCAGTAGGTCTCTAGCCCAACAAGTTCAGACAAAGTTTTGTTACTTATTTTTATTGCACACATGGGAAACAACAATTAAGTGTTGTTGTTCTTGACAAACATTGAAGATTCTAATCACGCGAATGTTTTTATGAGCGACTGTTCATCGTTAGTTGCAAACGACGGTACAACATACTATGAACATTTTTCCGACTGTGACCGAATGTGCAACGATATATTTTTCAAAGTTGTTAACAATTCCTAAAATTTGTTTATAGTAAAACAGCCTGCTCAGCACTCACTACTCACGATGATTTCATTTAGAAATGCAGTTATACCAGGAAAAGAACTGATTCTAAAATATGTAAATTTAAAAGCATTGGCTAACAGAATAAAGCGATGCATGTGAAGACAAGGTACAAACTTTTATAGTTGCTATTTGTTATAAAATCCTATAAATAAACCGATTCAACAATAATTTTGCCTCGAATTTGCATATTCTATGTTGCATGTTTATATTTTATTTTTATAGTATAAAAATAAAATTGTAATACTATGAAATAAAATACATTTCTGTTTATTGACCAGTACTTATTTAATGTCTTCTTCATCCAGTGGTCAGAGTAAATTTCTACTTCTAGCAAGTAAATATTTGACAAGCAGTCTGGAATAAGCACAGGACTTTTAATGCATCAGCCAAATCCAAGTGTGCCCATCCCCCTCGCCCAGCCATTTTCCTGTAAAGCACATCCCGGGGGTTGGGCATTTCCACTCGAACCTTAGCCCCGGCGGGGCATTTGAAATTAATAATTTGGATTCTTGCACTTCACTTGTGGAATTAATATTAGAATGTTAGGTTTTGTAATCCAAGTGAGAATATATACATGTATATATTTTGTAATCCAAGTGAGAATATTTTGTAATCCAAGTGAGAATATACAAATGTACCGGTATAGTACATGTATATATTTGGTGTATATATTTTGTAATCCAAATGAGAATAGTTTGTAATCCAAGTGAGAATATGCAAATGTATATATTCTCACTTGGATTACAAACCTAACATTCTAATTTTAATTCCACCAAGTGAAGTGCAAGAATCCAAATTATTGAAGTCCACCTTATCACAACTCGCACACCCGATTACCTAAATATACATGAACTTACCGTTAAAGCTCGACAGCTGGTCTCTTGTAGCTCAGTTGGTTAGAGCGCTGCACCGGAATCGCAGGGCCGTAGGTTCAATTCCTACCAGAGGACCTTGTGCTGCATTTTTCGCAGTCGTTCCTTGTTAGGTCTTAAAATGTATATATTCTCACTTGGATTACAAACCCTAACATTCAAATATTAATCCCAACAAGTGAAGTGCAAGAGTCCGAATTATTGAAGTCCACCTTATCATAACCCGCACACCCGATTACCTAAATATACATGAACTTATGATTAAAGCTCAACAGCTGGCCGAGCTGTAGCTCAGTTGGTTAGAGCGTTGCACCGGAATCGCAGGCCCGTAGGTTCAATTCCTACCAGAGGACCTTGTGCTACATTTTTTGCAGTCGATCCTGGTTAGGTCTTAAAATGTATATATTCTCACTTGGATTACAAACCCTAACATTCTAATATTAAGTCCACCAAGTGAAGTGCAAGAATCCAAATTATTGAAGTCCACCTTATCATAACCTGCACACCCGATTACTTAAATATACATGAACTTACGGTTAAAGCTCAACAGCTGGCCTCTGTAGCTCAGTTGGTTAGAGTGCTGCACCGGACTCACAGAGCCGTAGGTTCACTTCCTTCCATAGGACCTTGTGCTGCATTTTTTGCAGTCGTTCCTGGTTATAGGTCTTAAAATGTATATATTCTCACTTGGATTACAAACCCTAACATTCTAATATTAATTCCACTAAGTGAAGTGCAAGAATCCAAATTATTGAAGTCCACCTTATCATAACCCGCACACCCGATTACCTAAATATACATGAACTTATGGTTAAAGCTCAACAGCTGGCCTCTGTAGCTCAGTTGGCTAGAGCGCTGCACCGGAATCGCAGGGCAGTAGGTTCAATTCCTACCAGAGGTCCTTGTGCTGCATTTTTCGCAGTCGTTCCTGGTTAGGTCTTAAAATGTATATATTCTCACTTGGATTACAAACCCTAACATTCTAATATTAAGTCCACCAAGTGAAGTGCAAGAATCCAAATTATTGAAGTCCACCTTATAACCCGCACACCCGATTACCTAAATATACATGAACTTATGGTTAAAGCTCAACAGCTGACCGAGCTGTAGCTCAGTTGGTTAGAGCGCTGCACCGGAATCGCAGGGCCGTAGGTTCAATTCCTACCAGAGGACCTTGTGCTGCATTTTTCGCAGTCGTTCCTTGTTAGGTCTTAAAATGTATATATTCTCACTTAAAATGTATATATTACAAACCCTAACATTCTAACCCTAACATTCTAACATTTGAAATTAAGGATTTGGAGGTTTTGCGATCACCGACAACTTGATAATTTTATAAAACAAAACACTTCTATCTCCAACTTTTACAATCACTGATAAATTGATAATAATTTAAACCAGTCTAGCTGTAGTTTAAATAGAGAATAATACATGGGTGCACGAAATACCAGATTTATTTCGAGTGTTGAACATGAGTGCGCAGCGAACAAGTGAGCGCAGCGAACAAGTGAGCGCAGCGAACGAGTGAGATATCATGTTCAACACAAAAAATAAATCTGGTATTTCCAACCACCCATGTATTTTTCTGTTTATTATATAAAGGACAGTCTTAAATGAAAAGCGATAATGTTTACAGAAAAGCGATAATTGAAAAGGCGATAAATTTTTACATGTGAGATTATCATGAATAATTTCACATCTGAGATTATCATTTTTGTCAGTGCTCGAAAAATCTGTAAAACACTATACTTTATATAATAAAAATTCATAAATTTGAACCATGCTAGAGCATGACAACAGCAAAATGCTCTATAGTATGATGCACAATATTTTGGGAGGTGATCGAAATACACGAACAATAAATCAGAGAGTGTTTGCTTGGAACTCACTGGGGGGGGGGAGGGGGGTGCAACACCCCTGATTATTGCTCATGATGAATTTCAGGTAGATTTCCTGTGCACTTTTAGTACGTACATTTAAGTAGATTTGCAGAAGATTTTCAGGGGAATTCAGGTAATTCTCAGGACATGACTGAGAAAGTGAATTTGGAAAACAAGTGTATTTTCGGAAAAATTATTATATGTCCTGAAAATTTTTTGTACATCTGGAAACTTTTTGGTAACCCCCCCCCCCCTCTATCTAACCACACACACACCCTGCGACGAAGTGCTTGCAACGACACTGAGTATATATCTTTTAAAAACAGGCGAGGGGTTATTGCATGCATGTATTTCTAGTTTTTAAAATAAACTTTGTCTAAACCGAGAAAATCAAAGCTAAAGTCTATGTAAATTAACATGATTTTTTATCATATAAAGATACGACACGCTTATGATTTTTCTTTGTGTTTTCCTCCTGAATTATTAAACTTGTACATATCTCAGTAAGCCCAGATTTTCTCAAGGAGGGAAGGGGGTGGCAACAAGTTTGCCAGGAAACGCCACTGGCTAACGTATATTAGAGGCTCTAAAGGCGGTAAAATCCCTGTGATGTTGTCCCACTGTTCACCCTGTGTTCTTTAAGCAAATGTGCCTGCTCAAAAATGCAAAATCGTGCAAGCCTGTGGACACAATACTGAAGTGAAGAGCGTCAGTAGATTTACATGTAGGATTTTTTTTAATTAATCTTTCGGTTGCCGACTCGTCCCCAGTTGTCCGGTTGCTGACAGTCGCATGTGCCACGTGATATACGAGTTCCTTCTCTAAAATCGAGATTCAACTTTTTTCTTCAAAAAAAATAGAGACCACTGGGGTCGAGTTAGTGTCGAAAAAACCTAAGTTGGATAATTGTTTTTCAATATTTGTTAAAACGAACCTCGTATTTTATAAATCACTTTCACATTACTAAAAACCGCTCACATAATCAGAGGTTACTCCATCATTATAGGTTAAAAATACAAAAAACGTACGCACTAACCATTATACATGCTACTGCTTGCGACCATTACAACAGTTGTATTAAGTTACGTACGGCGCAAATCATTGTAGTTTGTAATGTAAAAATAACCTGACAGGCTGACATAAGTCAATTATTTGCTGCAAGCTATCCAGAAATGTTGGCTTGCGAAGCTTGTAGTTGTGCCATACCACGAATGCTTAACAAGCTGAGGAGAACTCTTCTAACTAATGGATGTGACTCACCAAAGACTTGAACCATAATCCGGAGGGATTTTTCGTAGCACTCGCACGCGGCTGGCAAGTTAGCTAGACTTTCGTAAGCTTGACCAAGATTGTACAGGTTGAGAGCGACTTCGCGATTGCACGATTCTGCATCACCAAACCTCTGCAGAGCATCCTTGATGTAGGCGACGGCATTTTCGTATTGACTCATCTGATAATAAACATTGCCCATGTTACCAAGGGTAACAGCAATGCTTTGATGAATTGCATTTGCACCATATAATGCGTATTTCATGTCCAGCGATTCCGAGAAGTAATCGATCGCTTTTTGGAAATGTCCTAGCTGACTGCAAAGATTGCCAAGGTTGGTTAAAGTTTTAGCAGTTTCCAAATGCGCTCTGTCCTTTCCGTACAGCTGTTTTTTCACAGCTAAAGCTTCTTCTAGATACGACAATGCTTTCTCGGATTTCTTAAGGTTTCTGTACACTGTCCCTAAGTTGTTCAGTGTAGAAGCAAGCTCGACGGAGGCACCACTTCCAAGCATTCTTTTTAAAATCTCCAACGCCTTTTCTAGCATCTCAGCTGCTTTCCCGTATTCTTCGGTTACAATATACTCACTTCCTAAGTTACACAGGTTTGTGCTAATTGTGGAGTCAGGGACATTTCCAGCCCCATATTTCTTTTCATCAAGACGAATGACTTCCTCGTAACACTTGATGGCCTCGAGTGGACGTCCTAAACGACTGTAACCACTGGCAACCTCGCTATGTGCCGCAGCGACATCAAAGTTCATCTCTTTGCGCATCTCCAGAGCACGTTGGTAATACGATAATGCGTTTTCGCTGTCACCAAGACTTACGCAGCAGTGTCCCGTGTCGATGAAGGACTTTGCTAATGGTGCATTTTTTAGGCCATCTTTGCCTTCGGATAATGACCTAGAATAGCAAAGTAAAAATGGTAGTGCGTTCAACATGCCGCAAAAATATGAAATTTAACCCTCTGGAGCCGGTTGCTAAAAAGCCGATTAGTTTAATCCTGGGTTAACGTACAATTCAAAGTAAACTTCCCAGCAGTTTGTTTATAAATTTGGAAACTTCTTTTTTCAGAAATCTTGTCTGAGTGGATCCTTAGAAGTTTAATTTTCTACAGTTCTGAAATAAACAGACATGCAAAAATACATAAACCGAAACAATGGGTTAAATTTAAACCTAGGGTTAGCGCTAATCGTGCTTTGAACAACTGGCCCCTGGTGACCTAGGGTCCTCCCCTAATAGTAGTACGGAGCTTAAAATGTGGTAAGTCTACTACGCCGTGACAAAAAAGCGCTAAAATCAGTGTCAGCGACACGCGGGTAAAAATTGTGGATTCTTTTTGTAAACATACATGGTTACAGATGAAAAACAAATTTAAACTGATAACAAATCCAAAAGTAAAACCCGACAGTTTTATTATCACGTCCACGTACTAGATTAAGCGATCGGTAAATTACGCAAGGCACTCGGATAAATTATGCAATGGCCAATGGACAAAACTCAATGGCGAAGCCAGCCCGACAATTTGGTCATGCTATGCAAATTTCATATCATTATCATTATTCATTTCTTTAGAAATTGATTGTTTTCACGGACTATGAACACGGAAATATTTGCATAGCATGACCAAATTGTCGGGCTGGCTTCGCCACTGACAAAACTACGCATTCAGTTAACTATGCCCGGCAGAGCAAGACAATGTTTTCTTACTACTACTAAAATGATTGCCATTGTTATAATCTAAAACTTGTTCATTTCGTACTGCGTTTATTGTTACTGTACCTTCTCATTTCCAGACCTTTGCGACAGCATTCATATGCCTCTTTATAATGCCCCAGGTTTCGGTAAGCATTTCCCAAGTTGTTTAAGCAGCTTGCGAAATCCTCATGCGGTTTGTCGTTTACACAAATTTTCGACCAATGCATGTGGGCCTCTTCCAAGTAACCCGCCGCCGTCTTAAAGTTATTCAATTCAGTGTGAACAAAGCCAAGATTGTTAAGAACAGCGCAAAGGTCTCTGTGCGCAAAGTTATCTTTGTGGATTACTCGCAAAAGTTGCAGAGCTTCGTCATATGTTTCCAGTGCACCGGGTAGATCTTTTTGATCAAGTAACGCCGATCCAAGACTGCTAAGCGTGGTTGCTATGTGTGGGTGCGAGATTTGTTTCCCATAGAGTAATTTCCGCATTTGCAGGGCTTCCCTGAAATACTTGACTGCTCGGTCATGATCAGAAACACCTGAATAACAATGTCCGAGGTTATAGAGAAGAGTGGCAATTTCGGGATGTACCTCACTTCTACCATACAGCCGTTGCCTAATAGATAGCGATTGTTCATAGAGTGACGCTGCCTGCTCATATTCCCCCACGTCGTGATGCGCGCTTGCCAAATTGTTGAGCGACGTTGCCAAATATGGATGAAGCACGCCGGTTCCAAACAGCGTCGTTAGTGTTTCAAATAGCTCGTTGTATCTGTCCAAGGCTTTCTGAATATCTCCGCGTTGAGCATATGCCGACAGCAAATTGTTCAGGGCAACACAGTAGTATGATGTTACCCGTGTTTTATCGACTTCTTTGACGATTTCCAGTGATTTCTCGTAAAAAACTATAGCCTGCTCGAGATCTTTCATTTGCTGATAAGCACAAGCTATCTCATTAAAAGAAACCGCAATATCGATGCCTGGTGATCTCTCTCCATGCACTGCTATCTTTATAGATAAACTTTGTTGGTAGAACGACAACGATTTCTTGTATTCTCCGAGTGACGACCAAGCATTGCCACGGTCACTATATGACCTGGCGAATTCCATGTTGGTCGTGACATCATTGTACTTCACTTCCAGGACTTGAGCTGCTTTGTCAAGATATTCAACGGCTTGTTCAACTTCACCTAATTCTAAACAGACGTTTCCTAGAATTGAAAGTGTTTCAAACAGGCCTGGGCTTTCGGTCACGTTTCCCCTCTCCAATTCATCTTCTACTTGGCAAACCACACTTTCAAGACAAGATTTGGCTTTCTCGAATTCCAAAAGACGAATATGGATGGTTGCCTTTGTTTCGGGCCTACATAGTGCAGTAGATAAATGTAGATAGATATGGTCATACATAGGCAGACAAAAATAAAAGGGAAGGATAGGAAAAAGGAAAAGAAATTAATGAGAAAAAAATTTTAAAAAGGAAGAAAGGAGGGAGGAAGGAAGGATTGAGCACGTAAGGTATGATGGATATTGCTTATTTGGAGCCTTAGATTGAACATTAGCTTAGTGAACCAAATAGCCCTACATCGAAAGTGTTCAGTATATGGCCTAGCATTGTTGTCATAATTTCCAGTCTGCATCGGACCTGACCGTGTAGCGTAGTTGGTAGAGCGTCGAGCTAGCATTTCGAACTTCGAAGGTCACGGATTCGAAACCCAGTTGCGGCAGGATGTTCTCCTTGCGCGGTTTGGAATCATTCACTCGAGAACATTTCATCCTATCATATTACGGAGTGAACATGCAATATCACATCATCACATATATGAATATATACAGGGTGTATAAAAAAAACTGAACAGATTTGAAATTGCTCTCAATTTCGCAAGAAATTGCTCTCAATTTCGCAAAACAGCTAGTGGTATCAAGTTTTTGTTACATATAGATTCCTTGAGTACCCATAATGTAGAATAATGAAAAAAAATACTCGAACTCAAATTGTGTAAATCAGGGAGGTGTTTCTTTTCCAACAAACTAAAAATGGCTTGCGCACGAAATTTAAAAGCTTTAATCGTATTTTGAGTTAACGGATGGAAAGTGTGTTGGGTTTTTAATTACTGTACAAAATTTGAGACAATTTGCTTTAGCTTAAGCCCTTTTTAACTATTCATTTTTTCCCTAAAAAATCAGCCTTTCGCATGCTTAATTAATGCCTTTACCTAATTTGCATATTGCTGACATATGCAAAATAAGGCAAAGGCATAATTAAGCATGCAAAAGGCTGATTAATTTTTAGGAAAAATGTAAGTTTGCGTGAATAGTTAATTAAAGGGTTTAAACTGAAGCAAATTGCCTGAAATTTCGTGCAGCAATTAAACACTCAACACATTTTTCACCCATTAACTTTTAAATCTCGTGCGCAATCCATTTTTAGTTTCTTGGAAAAGACACCCCCTGGTTTACAAAATTTGAGTTCGAGAAATGTTTTCATTATTCTACATTATTTGTAGCCAAAGAAGCTATATATATATAAAAAACTGGGTACTAATGGCTGTTTTGCAAAATTGAGAGCAATTTCAAATCTGTTCAGTTTTTTTTTATACACCCTGTATAACCCCCACCTTGTGGAAATCAATACAAAAATTTAATATAACTGTTACCTGCCATCATATAGGTTGTGGTTGGACAATATGTTTACTTCTTTTGGTGATTTCTTAAACAAGAACTCTTCTATAGCTTTTTGAAGAGGCAAAACGGTCATGAAAAAGCGGAAGACGATATCTGGATTAGGAATGTGGAAAACTTTGTCCAACTTGGTACGGGGACCCGCCTTTGCAGTAACTGATTCGGCCAGATCCGGTTCCATAATTTCTGATGGTAAACCAGTCATTCTTTCTCTCTGTTCATCTTTCCCAAGGTAAGAGCGAAGTCGAAGTTCCGATGCAACAGCTAATACAAAACTCAGATTGTGGGCTTCGTCTTCTGTGATCAGCTGCTTCCCTTGCATTTCTTCAACAACATCCCAAGTGTTCCGTGTATCAAGGTTATAATACAAGGTAAGGCTATTCAAAACCAAACTAGGAAATCTGTAAAGCTCCTTCTTGACATTAAATACTTTTCCCGCTTCGTGCCAGTCTAAATTGATGCTAAAATCTTGAAATGTCTCGTTCAAGCACTCAAAGCCTCTTTTGGAGCCATTAGTCCACATATCTTCACCTGATGAAGCTTGTAACCTTTCTTTAACTTTTACGTTGTACACTTTCACAAGTTCTTCGTCGCCTGTGATGAACATCGAAGTGGCCATTACGTCAGCCAAGTGGTAGCCCTCCTTAATAGCCACTTGCTCGCTTTGCAGTGCGGCCATTTCTTCTGGTGTTTTAATCAGCTCAAGGGCTTCTTTAGTTTGAGATTTCTTACGACCAAAAGGAGACTTGCTGGCCCACGGCATTGCCCCATCGAAGGAAAATCCTTTCGGGCCATCATCAAAGAACCACATACGTGACGGATCGCCAGAGTAGAAATCATTTAACGATGTGATGCTCATTGACGGTAAGATAGTCTCACCCAAGTTGAGAACCTTCAGATGCAAATAGCGTGTGATGTTGCGGAAATATACCAGGTTGGATTCCGTCTTTGCACCTTCTTCCAGTAGAATAGCAAACTCCAAGTCAGAATAAGGAGTCATTTCGTTTCGAGCCAAAGAGCCAAGTCCAATCACAGCAAATCGACAGGGTGCGTTGCCTAACACTAACGTGCATTCTTCAATCAGCATTCGAATGAAGTTTGTCATGTCTTCGGATATCTTTCGGAAAAGTGTTGATATCAAGTTGGTCCGCCTTTTCTCCAGTGCCACACGTTCTTCTGGGTTTAGTGGCATTAACCCTGGGTCACACTCAAAGTCTACTTGAACAATGACTTCTTTGCAGTCATCACGAATCTTCTCTAATAAAGCTTTGTGTTTCATGTCGTTGTCATAGTTGGGAAGGTCTACTGGTGAGTCCTCTTGGAGAACCGAACTTAAAAAATGTCTCTCTGCTTCTTTAATGCGAGATATTAAGTGCTGTCGAAGCTTGGCTTCAGTACTTGTAAGCCTTGTTAGTGCTGCGTTATATAACGCTGTTGCTTTTGTAAAGTCTTCTCCACATTTACTTCTCTTACCGTATTCCACGTAGATGTTGCCAAGTTCTTCAAAGCATATTCTCACTTCTTCCTTTTTTGCTCCTTGATATACCAGTTTAAGTGCTGTTGAATAATGTAACTCAGCAGTTGTTAGATCATCTTTGGAAAAAGCGTTGCTTCCTTTGGAGAGGAGCTCGTGGAATGCAGAACTGTTAGATATGCAAATAAATAAATAAACTAATCAATAAATATACAAATAAATGTGCACTATTTATGGTATAGGCCATCCTGTGGCATTGCATATACACAGGCCCCCCAGAGAAATTCGGGTACCCAGGGCAAAATTTTAAATTCGGGGCCCCTATTTTTTCCCCAAAAATGTTGATTAAGGTTTGAAAATTGTTTTCTCATACCATTATTTATATTTCAAAAACTCATTTTTTAATCAAATTCATGAGGAAAACACAAAGAAAAATCATAAGCGTGCATGTCGTATCTTTAATATGTGATAGAGATTTCCTTTGATTTACAGGCTTTAACTTTGATTTTCTCGAATTACACAACGTATTTTTTGAAAATTACCTCGCCAAGCCAATGAACTTTTTTCCGCCAATTTAAAACATTCGCAGTGCGTGTTTTATCAGACCTAAAGATACTCAGCTTCGCCTCGTATCTTTGTCGGCTAATAAAACACTGCTGCTCGTGTTTTAAATAGTACAAAAAACGTTCCAAATAATTTTTTTTAATGACACCTTTTGTGACGCATATACAACAAAACTTTTAAGTACTATATTTATTTCATGTAATTACCAGGCAAACTGACGTTCTCTGACCAAATAATTTATTAAAATTCGAGCTTACCAGTTTAGAGTGAAAACATGCAAATATTAAGCTTAAGAACGATTAGTAATTATCACTTATTTACTGAGACCGAGGGAAACAGTGTGTTTTGTGGACCCGAGACCGCCGTTGTTGCCAGAGGCGAAACCGAGGTCAAGGGGCCACGAAACACACTGCTTTCCCGAGGTCAAAGCATGCAGTGAACATGACGTTTTGTGGACCGGCACGTGATACGGTTTTGACCAATCGGCAAACAGGAAATTTGAACTTTGACACTTGCTATATAACAATATGATATATTAAATTACATATTAGTGCATGCTGTGAATATGTATTGTCGGCGTTTTGTAGATGGAAATGTCGACTGTGAAATTAATATTAGACCTAGCAATTGCGAAAAATGGAACTATAGGCCCTTTGGCAAGAATCGAACATGCGGCCCTCCGATTCCAGTGCCGCGCTCTAAGCAATTGAGCTATGGAGGCCAGATGTCCAACTTTAACCGCAAGTTCATGTATGTATGCAGTATCCCCTGTATATACTATTAATATGATACAGTATATATACTAATATGATGGCAATGTAAGACGTATGGGTAAATATCAGGATTTGGGGCACTTCTACTCGATATAACTAATAGTAATTGTAAAAGAGCTTTCTACATGTATGTAATTTAATGTATCATATTACAAAGGTGTCAAAGCGTTCTTAGTATTTATAATAATAGGTCAGAGAATGTCTGTTTTTCATTAGCACATTTATACTTTCTGCAATTTCAAGTTAAACATAGTTTTGTTGCAATTGTTTGAACAAAGAGTTTTGAGGTTATGCGAGCTACGAGGTAGTGAAGATGTGGCCAAGATGTTGCCAAGAACCTTGGCTGTTTTTTGTATTTCAATTCTTGTGATTGGTCAGATTGTATAAAGCTGTCACGTTTACAATCGCAGTACCTGTACCTTGACAACATCTTTGCCACACCTTGGCAACATGCATTGCATGGGTGTTAGATTTTGTTTACCTAAGTAACTAAGTTACACTGACAGTACCTATCAACAGTACCTATAAGCTAGATCAGTAATGATTGGGCACAACTTGTTGAACCATTTGTCGCTTTATGGACTTGTTTGTGTATATTATAGGCTGTGGGCTGTTGGCCAAAATTATTTCACTTCGTGGCAACCCCTTGGGGAATAGATTTTCTGTGATTCAATGCGTAGTACCATGAATACTCGACTACCACAAAAAGTTCCCAAGCAAAAAACTTGCCAAACACCGAGAGAATGGGTGATCAGTGATTATCCCCTATTAAATTGTATTATAGCAAGAAAATGTGAAATTTTGTATTCAATTAGAACAAAAATGATTTGCATCGTCAGAAAGCTTACAAAAAACCACATATAAGACATTCAAACAGTTTTTTGAATTTTGATCCTTCAAGTCTTTGAGTTATTGCTGTTTTAAATGTGAAAATTGGACCAAAATGTCACAATAAGGACTGGGTACTAGGTCAAAAACGCGTTTTTGACAGCTTATAACTTGAAAACAATTTGAGATATAAAAAACTGTTTAAATTCATATATCCATATATCAAGTTTTCCGATGATGCTAGTAATAAGTAATAGTAGTAATAGTAATTAGTACTGGACCAGTAATACAATTTAATAGAGGATAATCACTGATCACCCATTTTCTCGGTGTTTGGCAAGTTTTTTGCTTGGGAACTTTTTGTGGTAATTGGGCATCTATGGTACTGTGCATTGAACCACAGAAAATCTATTCCCCAGGGGGTTGCCACGAAATTGCTTTTCCAAGCACTTTTTTGCACAACGGCCCACAGCCTATTATATATCAATTCAATTATGGTTGTCTGAATGTCCAACTTGTCAATGTGTTATGTTCTAATATTCTGAGGTTTAATTGCTGATGCATGTCTCAAAAATACAGTTTGAGTTAACTGGGTAAATTAGCCCAAGGGAAAATGAAATTTGTTCAAGTCAGCGAGGAGTTCGAGTTAAGCAAACTGTTAGGGTTAACCAGAGTGTCTTGTTTAGCAAACCCATAGATACACCCAGTGGTGTAGTGGAGGGGGGCTCAGGGGGGCTGACCCCCCCTGTTAAAATTTCATGTTGACTTTGAGCACCCCTATATTTTTTGCACTTTGCATGATCTTAACAACGTCAAAAATACACACAAAAATATCAGTAAACGAGAATGTTCTTTAGAATTGCATCTCATTTTCAGTCATTATTTAACACAATAATGATTTTTGTAATCTATACTTAATCGTTTGTAATTTAAACTCTATCCAGGGCCGTAGCAACCACGGGAGCTGGGGGCTGCAGCCCCCCCCCCCCCCAATAATTTACTAATAATCATTCTTTTTCAAAATCATGCAGACCTTTATCATTTAACTAATATACCTTTAAAACACTGACAATTGATTAATTTTAAGCAGCTACATTATACATAACAAACTGCAAAGATTGAAAATATTACCCATACTTTCCTGCAACTTATCCAATATATAGTTAATTAAATACGCCTTCGCCCATTTAGTACTACTAAATTGTAAATTTCGACATCAGAATTCGGTCAAATCTTCCCCCAAAGTCCAGGAAATGGCATTTCAGATACTCTAAATTTAAAAATTTCCTCAAGCCTTTGGTCCTCACTTTCAGCCTTCAATCAAAAAGAGCTTCCTACAGCACTGCTATCCATAGCATTTTATACTTCAGTTTTGTTGATTTTATAGGCATAATACAGCTGCTATTAAAGAGCTTTCCCAAAGATATAGCTTTCCCAAAGATATAGCTTTCCCAAAGATAGAGCTTTCCCAAAATATATGTTACAGTTTATAAATATTAGGCTGTTAGCAATATGGAAAATTTAGACCAGGAATCAAAGACAAAGTCACAGTCAGAAATTTTCATATTTTCTGAACTCCGCTTTCCCACTGGGCGAGATTGCTTGGAGGAAGGGGTCGCAGGGCCAAATGGTCCCCCAGTATATATGTTAATTTAAATTGTTAAGTATATGTAATATATATGGAGGAGAAATATTCTCCAGTGAGATATTTTCAAAATTTTCCATCTCACTTGAGAACATTTTCTCCTTTTCATATTACTGAGTGAATATATATAATGGCAGCCTAGACCTAGGCCTTCTAGTCTTATTTATATTTCTTCATATTCAGCGCTTTTTCACATGAAAAGACTGGGACTAGGTGATTTGGGGGCGGGGCGGAGGAACCAAGCCTAGAAGGCCTAGTTGATTTCCCAACAACATGGCCAAAACTGCCCTGAAACTGCCCTGGTTGCGAAATGCCCAATTATTGCGTTCTCAAACAGAATTACTTGCAACTTAACGGCAAATTTAAACCGATACAGGTAAAATAAAGTCATTTATAGTATAAACTTACTATTTTTATTTGTATACACGTCTAGAAAATCGGGGTTTTTATCATAAAGTTCGAAGCAACACTATTATTTAATATGTTGACATTTACTTGACAAGGTGTAGCGAAAGCACAAAATGAGTCAAAATATATACCAAAAGTAGAATCTTTCATGAAATTTTGTCTTATACACAACTACATATATTAATATATATTTTCTCAATTTTGGCAAGAAGCAGTCTTGTGTTTGTAAAATATACAAACACATATACAATTATAATTTATTAAATAAAACGGATACATATATTATTAGCCCGTACAGTACTGTATATAAAAACGTACATTGTTTACAAATGGTATATCCGTAATATTTGAACAATAATTTCAAAATCCTCATTCCCAATTCGCAAATATAGTTATTCAAAGCAAAACAGTAGATTGTCTTGCGAATAAAAGAATTATTATTTTGTGCTTTCGCTTCACCTTGTCAACATAATAATAGTGTTGCTTCAAACTTTGGGCCATTGCATTTTTAAACATTTTGAGGACATCCATTCTTTGGACCCCCCTCCCCTGGAATTTCCACATTTTTTAAGCAAATTTTTTGCCTCCCCCGTGGAATTTCCGCAGATTTTTATTGAATTTTAGCCATCCCCATGGAATTTCCGCAATTTTTTTATGAACTTTTAACCCATCCCATGGAAATTCCTTGACAGTTTTTTATCTAGCCAGTAGAAATTCCACATTGATTCTTTGATTAGTAGCTATCCCTTGGAAAATTCCTTGCTGATTTTGATCCTATCCTTTGGAATTTCTTTTCCATTGTTGACCCTCCCATGGAAATTCCATACGTTTTACTCATTTTTCTTACCTACCTTTTGGAATTTCTGCAGATTTGCTTTAAAATTTGGACCCTCCCATGGAAATTCCTTCATTTTTGGTTCACTTTTGCAGGGGGCCATTGGAAATTCCACATGTCCTCAATAGGGGGGGTGCAGATAAAAAATGCAATGGCCCTTTATGATAAAAACTCCGATTTTCTAGACGTGTATACAAATAAAAATAGTAAGTTATACTATAAATGAGTTTATTTTACCTGTATCGGTTTAAATTCGCTGTTAAGTCGCAAATAATTCTGTTTGAGAACGCAACAATTGGGCATTTTGCAATCAGGGCAGTTTCAGGGCAGTTTTGGCCTTGTTGTTGGGAAATCCACTAGGCCTTCTATTTTTTCGCTTGCATCAGGCTTGTATCCTTCCTCCGCCCCGCCCCCAAATCACCTAGTCCCAGTCTTTTCATGTGAAAAAGCGCTGAATATTAAAAAAATATCAATAAAAATAGAAGGCCTAGGTCTAGGCTAATATAATGGATGTGGGACACATAAATTATATATACGACAAGAATGCCATTGAACCTAATACACATGATCTCTGCATGTCACAGATTTAAATCAGCGCAAAGGCCTAATAGGCAATACTTTTCGAATGAAAAATTCACTATCAGCTACACTGCGCTGACGAGCCCCAAAAGGGCGAAACAGCTGTCCGCAGTTGCTGGTAGTGAGCTTGGGGCACAATTGTCACATCTGTGACATGCCGAGATCATGCGTATTAGGTTCAATGGCATTCTTGTAATCTTGTCGTATATATATATATATATATATATATATATATATATATATATATATATATATATATATATATATATATATATATATATATATATATATATATATATATGGTGAATGTATTGTTATCAATAGTGAATATATTGTTATGAATGATAAATTAATAAAGTAAAAGGTATACAAAAATGCTAAGGATGATATATAAAAATCTATCAATGTAGATACTAAGGATGATAGTTCAATAACAGCGGAGTCGATAAATAAATAGTTGATGAATACACTTGCATGACATCCATGATACAAAAAAGCAGATACAATATATATATATATATATTCTGCTTTGAATGCAGAAAATATCTGAACTCCCAACATGTGTTTATATATTTATAACATATAAAATCAACTAAACTACACTATCTGCTCTATCTATATGATATTGATTATTGAGCATTCTTGACTTTAGCATACATACCAGTATATTGCTTATTGCTCCGATTATTACATTTAATAATCAGCAAAAGTCAAAGATGTACCAACATACCTTTCACCGCTTTCACTTTCAGGTTTATTTTCAGTTGCTTTCTCATTTGCTGTGAATTCTTTTGCCATTTGGTCGGCAGTAAGAACAAATTTATTATAAAATATTCCCACACTGTAGCTACTTGTTCATTGACATTGTCATTGACTTTATATTTTCCAGCCACGGTTTATTAATTAATATGCACTCGGCCACAAACTGCCACTAGCAAGACAAGATTAGTAATTTACATACGTAAAGTAAAAAACTATGACGGGTGATACCTACAACTTCAATACAAAAATAAAAGACTCTCCTTGGAAATGTACGTCACACAACCACAAGTGAAAGTGAAACAATGCGAGGGGCAAATGATCCGCAAATCACTCGAAAAAAGTGTACGGGACTTTCGGACTTTCAAAAGTCCGGGGATTTTTTTGTCGGACTTTCGGGGAATTTTTTCGGACTTTTTTGCCCTGAATAAAACGATATTCTCTGAGGTTTATGAAGCTTGATCAGTAAAAAAGTGTTAATTGGAACATTGTGTGTAATAGAGGTGTGCATCGGATCGCATTGGACGTTTATAATCCGACAATTGGCTAATGTTTGAAATCCGATCCGAAATTGTCTAATCCGAATCCCGGATCCGAGTTGTGATAAAGAATTCCAATCCGATCCGATGAATCCTTTAACAAAATAAATTTCTCATTCAAGTTGAAATATTTAACCAAATAAATATAAAAGCAAGAAATACATGTCAAAAAGCTGACAAAGTGACGTCCAATTGAAGTATCAAACGAATAATGCAGCGACAACCGCGATAATGCTTTGATAAATTCATGGATAATTAATTCTTGCAATAATGCGTGGATAATTAATTCATTTTATTTCGAATATCGAAGTCCAATCCGATCCGACTACGAAACAACTTTATCAATCCGATCCGATATCAGGGGCGTAGGAAGCTCTTTTCGATTGGGGGGGCTGAAAGCGAGGGAAATTTTTAAATTTAGAGTCTCTAAAATGCCATTTCCTGGACTTTGGGGGAAGATTTAACAGAATTCTGATAGTCAGAAAACAGCGTTATAGTATGTCGAAATTTACAGGAAAGTATGGGCCAGACTGTAGTATTATAAATGCGCGGCGGGAATTTTCGTCGTAAATGGCAGTTGCGCGGAAATGAAGGCAGAACATTTTAGAAAATTTCGAAAATCTGGAGTCTCTAGATGGTCTGAAATGGCATTTTCAGAGTTTTCTTTCGCAAGACCCAACACGCAAAAGACAAAATAAATCATTAGTTCATCAAAAATGTGCAGATTTTGTGGGATTTGCTTGAAAATGCGCGACAGAAATTCAGCTAAAATTTCTACGCGAGGAACGATCTGGAGTATGAGTAATATCTTCATTCTTTGCAGTTTGTCACAGATTAAATGATAAAGTTTGCATGATTTTGAAAAAAGAATGATTATTAGCGAATTATTGGGGGGGCTGCAGCCCCCCAGCCCCCCGGTTGCTACGGCCCTG